CCCCATGCTCTATTCTCCAGATTACCTTCAAACCCCTGAAGGTACGGGACTCAGAATTCCTGTTGAGGTATGTGGACTTTTCCTGGAAGGGAAATATTCAAAATGTCCTCTCAGCCCCGGGCACAGTGGCTCACACTGTGGATCACAAAAGGACTTTTAAGGACTCACAGGATTACAAAGTCCTATAATCCCAGCACTTTGGGAGGCTGAAGTGGGCAGGTCACCTGAGATCAGGAGTTCAAGACCAGCCTGGCCAACATGGTGAAATCCTGTCTCTACTAAAATTACAAAAATTAGCCGGGCACAGTGGCGCATGCCTGAAATTCCAGCTACTCGGGAGGCTGAGGCAGGAGAATCACTTGAACCCGGGAGGTGGAGGTTGCAGTGAGCTAAGATCACACCACTGCACTCCAGCCTGGGCAATAGAGCGAGACTGCCTCTCTCTCTCTCTCTCTCACACACACACACACACACACACACACACACACACACAATTCTCTCATTTCCAACTTGCCAACACCTATGATAATGTAAACCAAAAATGAAATTCTAAGCCCCTCAACTGACTGACTGAATCCCCATCTTCACCAAGGGGATCCCAAAGAAAACCTGAAAAGCTAGTTCAGACCATGATGGGAAGGAAGGTCGGATATGTCTCTTCACCTCTTCATACTTTCCTCCCTTTGGAGTTTAGGCACAACCGACCAGCATTCACATTAAATTACAGATCATCATAAGGTAAGCATGGTGGCTCATGCCTGTAATCCCAGCACTTTGGGAGGCTGAGGCGGGCGGATCACTTGAGGTCAGGAGTTTGAGACCAGCCTGGCCAACATGGTGAAACCCCTTCTCTACCAAAAATACAAAAATTAGCCAGGCATGGTGGCAGGCACCTGTAATCCCAGCTACTCAGGAGGCTGAGGCAGGAGAATTGCTTGAACCTGAGAGGTGGAGGTTGCAGTGAGCTGAGATCACTCCACTGCAATATACCTTGGGTGACAGAGCAAGACTCTGTCTCGAAACAAAACAAAACTAAAATCCAGATCATCAGACAGACAAAACAGACTCTTTGTGCAATAAGATACCAAATTCCAGCCTGACCCTGGTATGGCATCACAGTGACAGATAACAGGCCCTAAAGGAAGTCAAAGTATTTTACCCCAAGATGTATTTATTTGGCATATTTTGGAGTGACCCTGGAAAGCCCACTCTTTGCCTTCTGTAGCGAATCCCCTTCCCGTTCCAGGTCTTTTCCTGATCCAGGAGAGAATTAAACTAAGAGTCTGACACCTTTTAAGGTCCAATAAGAGACATATACCATCTATCCTGTCTGAAGCCGGGTGCTTAGAGGCTTCATCTACATAAACAAGAACCTTGGCTTCCACAACTCTCTTATCTTAACTCAAGCATTTCTTTTCTTCTTCTTTCGTTTTTTTTTTTTTTTTTGAGTTGGAGTCTCACCCTGTCACCTAGGCTGGAGTGAGGGGTGTGATCTCAGCTAACTGCAACCTCTGCCTCCCAGGCTCAAGGGGTCCTCCCGACTCCACCTCCTGATAGCTGGGAGCACAGGTGCATACCACCATGCTGAGCTAATTTTTGGTAGAGTCAGGGGTCTCTCCACGTTGCCCAGTCTGGTCTGGAACTCCTAGGCTCAAGCGATCCACCCGCCTTGGCCTCCGGAAGTGCTGGGATTACAGGCTGAGCCACCGCACCCAGCCTCAAACATTTCTTTATGCTGACTTCAACTCCTCAGGCAATGCTTCACTCTTTCAATCAATTGCCAATCAGGACATCTTCGAATCCACCTATGACCTGGAAGTCCTTCTGCTTCCATCTTTGAGATGTCTTGCCTTTTGAGGCTGAACCAATGTATATATTACATGTATTGCTTTATGTCTTGTGACTTCTGTCTCTCTAAAATGTATAAAACCAAACTGTAACCTGACCATCTTGTGCACATGTCCTCAGGACCCCCTGAGACGGTGTCACGGGCCATGATCACTCATATTTGGGTCAGAATAAACTTCTTCAAATATTTTATGGAGTTTGACTTTTTTTCATCAACAATACTTACCTGTCGCTTGCTTCAAACCCTCCCATGGCTCCCCAGTACTTTTTAAGGTTTTTTTTTAAGACGGAGTTTTGCTCTTTTTGTCCAGGCTATAGTGTAGTGGTGCGATCTCCGCTCACTGCAACCTCCACCTGCTGGGTTCAAGCGATTCTCCTACCTCAGCCTCCCGAGTAGCTGGGATTACAGGCACCCGCCACCATGCCCAGCTAATTTTTGTATTCTTAGTAGAGATGGGGTTTCAACATGTTGGCCAGGCTGGTCTTGAACTCCTGACCTCAGGTGATCCATCCACCTCGGCCTCCCAAAGTGCTGGGATTACAGGCATGAGCCACTGTGCCTGGCCAGTCCCCCAGTACTCTTAAGACAGAGTTTGAACTCCTCACTGATAAAGATCTGCAAGATCTGGCACCTCCTGGTCCCCTGCCATCACCCACGACCCTTCCCACTTCATACTTGTTCCCCAGCCAGACTGAACTGCTTTTAGTTACCTAATATTATTACTAGAAAGGGGTCCTGATCCAGACCCCACGAAAGAATTCTCTCACAAGAAAGAATTCAGGATAAGTCCACAAAGTAAAGCAAAAGCAAGTTTATTAACAAAGTAAAGGAATAAAGACCAGGCGCAGTGGCTCACGCCTGTAATCCCAGTACTTTGGGAGGTCGAGGCAGGGGGATCACCTGAGGTTAGGAGTTCAAGACCAGCCTGGCTAAAATGGCGAAACCCCATCTGTACTAAACATACAAAAAATTAGCTGGGCCTGGTGATTCGCCCCTGTAATCCCAGTTACTCGGGAGGCTGAGGCAGTGGAATTGCCTGAGGCCAAGGTTGCAATGAGCTGAGATCGCACCACTGCACTCCAGCCTGGGTGACAGAGTGAGACTCCATCTCAAAAAAAAAAAAAAAAGAAAAAAGAAAAAAGAAAGGAAAAGAATAAAAGAATGGCTATTCCGTAGGCAGAGCAGCAGCACGGGCTGCTTGACTGAGTATATTTATGGATACTTTCTGATTATGTGCTAAACAAGGGGTGAATTTTTCATGAGTTTTCCAGGGCAGGGTTGGGGAGCTCCTGAAAGTGAGGGTGTCTCCTCTTTTTAGCTTGTATAGGGTAGCTTCTGGACATCGTCATGACGCTGGGGAGACTGTCTTTTCACATGTTAGTGTATGATGAGCAGTGAAGACAACCAGAGGTCACTTTTGTTGTCATCTTGGTTTGGATGACTTTTGACCTGCTTCTTTACTACCTCTTGTTGTGTCAGCAGGGTCTTCATGACCTATGTCTTGTGATACCAATCCTGCTGGCCTCTTATCTCAACCTGTGACTAAGAATGCCTAACCTCCTGGGAATGCAGCCCAGCGGGTCTCATCCACATTTTACCCAGCCCCTATTCCAGACGGAGTCACTCTGGTTCTAACACCTCTGATAATATCCTCTATTACCTCCAGACATTTGCATATGCTAATTCCTCTTCTGCTTCCCCCATTTCATGTGGCTATCTCCTCCATCCTCAGGTCTCAGCTCAAATGTTTGCTCCTCCAAGAGGCCTTCCTTGATTTCTTTTCTTTTCTTTCCTTTTCTTTTCTCTTTTTTTGAGAAGGAGTCTCACTCTGTCACCCAGGCTGGAGTTCAGTGGTGCGATCTCGGCTCACTGCAACCTCCGTCTCCTGGGTTCAAACAATTCTTCTGCCTCAGCCTCCTGAGTAGCTGAGATTACAGGCGCCCACCACCATGCCCAGATAATTTTTGTATTTTTAGTTGAGACGGGGTTTCACCATGTTTTCCAGGCTGGTCTCAAACTCCTGAGCTCAAGTGATCCACCCGCCTCGGCCTCCCAAAATGCTGGGATTACAGGCATGAGCCACCACCACCTTTCTTGATTTCTAGGCTGGATTCTGTAATCCCTTGGGGCTCCCATTGCACTTTGTGTTTTCCCTGTTGAAACACCTATCAAACTGGATTATGGTTGTGTGTTTTCAGGACTGCTCTCTGCTCTTTCCTATGCTATCGCTAGCTTTTTTTTTTTTTTGAGATGTAGTCTTGCTCTGTCACCCAGGCTGGAGTGCAGTGGCACTATCTCAGCTCATTGCAACCTCCGCCTCCCAGGTTCAAGCAATTCTCCTGCCTCAGCCTCCCAAGTAGCTGGGACTACAGGCGCACACCACCATGCCGGCTAATTTTTGTATTTTTAGGAGAGACGGGGTTTCAACATGTTGGCCAGGCTGGTCTCAAACTCTTGACCTCAGGTGACCCACCTGCCTCAGCCTCCCAAAGTGCTGGGATTACAGGCGTGAGCCAATGCACCTGGCCTCTAGCTCTTTTTCCTAATTGCTGGCCTGCTTTCCAAAAGTTGGCTTAGGCCCATGACCCGGTTCTTGGCTGTAGACTCACAAAGAACTGCTTCCCAGAGACCTCTCCACCACCTCCCTTTCGCAGTTTTACTCCAGCAGCTGGATGTGTTTGGTTTCTCAATCTGACTGGTGACTCTTCTCTGATCCTCTAAACCCTTTTTTGAGACAGAGTCTTGCTCTTTCCCCTGCAAATTCCGAGTCTAGGCGTTTTTCTTTCTCTTTTTTCTTTTCTTTTCTTTTTTTTTTGAGATGGAGTCTTGCTCTGTTGCCCAGGCTGGAGTACAGTGGTGTGGTCTGACTCACTGCAGTCTCCGCCTCCTCCTGGGTTCAAGTGATTCTCCTGCCTCAGCCTCCCGAGTAGCTGGGATTACAGGCATGCCCCACCATACCCAGCTAATTTTGTATTTTTAGTCAAGACGGGGTTTCTCCATGTTGGTCAGGCTCATCTCGAACTCCTAACCTCAGGTGATCCTCCCACCTCGGCCTCCCAAAGTGCTGGGATTACAGGCGTGAGCCACTACACCCCGGGGCCTTTTTTCCTTTTAGAAGAAAATAAAAAAAGAATCTAGAGGATTGGTGAAAAATAAAAAATGACAGTAGAAATCTAGGAAGGGGTTTTAATCATTACTTAATCCAACCCTTTTTTTTTTGTTGCAGAGGGGAAACTGAAACTCAAACAGGGGTATGTAACTTGCTCAGGATCATGTGGCCAAGTTGTAGAATCAGGTTGCACTCTAGCCTGGGCGATAGAGGGGTACTCCATCTAAAAAAAAAAGAGGAAGAAAAGAAAGAAAAAGAAATTATTAACAATGAAAATTAAAACAAATAAAAATGTTAGAGGCCAGACTCCACAACCAGCCCACTCTCACCCTCTGTGTTGTAAATGCTTGCATGAGGCTTCAGGCAACTTTCAGACTGACAAGGAAGTTTACAGCACCCAGTTCATAGTGGGAGTGTCCTAATGAATGATGAACGAGAATGCATAATCTGAATCTGATCACAAGAAAACATCAAACAAGCTCAAAAGGAGCATTATTCTTTAAAAAAAAAAAAAAAAAAAAAGTAGATAAATGGAGGAAGAGCATTCTTCAAAAGTGTCATAAAATACAAAGAAATGCTATGAAGTGTTCCAGATCAAAGGACACTAAAGAGACATGACAACTGAAGAAAGGAAGTTTACAAGACCCCCAACAGGTTCTCGTGGGAGTGTCCTAATGAATGATGAACGGAATGCATAATTCTGAATTTGGGATCGCAGCAAAGAACATCAGAACAGCTCAAAAGGAGCAATTATTTGCTGTTTAAAAAAAAAAAAAAAGATGGTGGGGTGGAG